AAAGAAATAACAAATGAACCATATATTCTTAGCATCTACTTTTCACTCCTCCCTAATCCCTTGAGTCCCAGGTAGCAAATATATTTTCTGTCTTCGTAGATCTGTTGTCCAGATATTGCACATAAGTAGACTTGTGTGATATGTGGCCTCTTGTGTCCAACATGATGTTTTGCAGATTGATGTTTGTAACAGCATGCATCAGTTCTCCATTTTTATGACTAAATGCAATTCTTCAGCATGGATAGACTGTATCGTGTTCATTTATGATATGATTACTCTGTTTAACTTTCTGAGGAATTTCTGATTTTCATTGAGATTGCACTTTTTTTTGTTTTGTTTTGTTTTGTTTTTTTGAGACAGGGTTTCTCTGTGCCATAGTCCTGGCTGTCCTGGAACTTGCTCTGTGGACCAGGCTGGCCTCACAAAGAAAGGCATGCACTACCACTGTCCAACTCCCCCCCCCCCTTTTTTTTGAGACAGTCTCTGTGGAGTTTGGGCTCATCTGAAACCTGCTGTGTAGCCTTTGGTAGTCTTGAAATTCAGAGCCTCCTGCCTCTGCCCTCAGTGCTGGGACTGGGATATGAAGAGCATGCTCATCTAAAGGGAGTATTCCGAGCCGGGCGGTGGTGGCGCACGCCTTTAATCCCAGCACTCGGGAGGCAGAGGCAGGCGGATCTCTGTGAGTTCGAGACCAGCCTGGTCTACAAGAGCTAGGTTCCAGGACAGACTCCAAAACCACAGAGAAACCCTGTCTCGAAAAAAAATAAAATAAAATAAAATAAAAATAAAGGGAGTATTCCTTTCTCAGTGAGTTGTTTTGAAGCCTTTGTTGAACTTTTACTGAGTTTGATAGTGCCTGCCATAGTCCAGACATAGGACGTGGAGGCAGGTCATCTTTAACTACATACCAGGTTGAGACCAGGGGAGACATTGTCACAAACAACAACACAAATTTTTTTTAAAGTGTTTATTTCAGGGTTCTAAATTTTACCCCAGTGATGAGATATTTGTCTTTATGGTGGTACCACATTGTCCTGATAGCTGTTTTTTTGTGTAGTACATTTCAAAATTGTAAAAAGTATGTGTTTGAACTTGCCTTTTCTCTTTTAAAAAATTAGTTTAGTGTATGGGTGTTTTGGTTGCATGTGTGTCTGATTGCCATTTGTTCATGTGTGTCTGTGCCATGTGTGTCTGTGCACCATGTGTGTGCCTTCCACCCTCAGAAATCAGGAGAGAGTGTTGGATCCCCCTGGAACTGGAGTTATGAGTAGTTTTGATGTGGGTGCAGGGAATTACACCCAGGTGACCTGGAAGAGCAGCTATTGCTCCTAACTGCTGAGCCTTCTCTGCAGCCCGTGACTTTTCTTTTGTAATGATGACTCTGGTTCTGTGCATTTCCATATAATTTAGAATCAATTTGTCTGTTTCTTCAAAAGCCTGTTGGGATTTGGTTGGGAATTGCATTGAGTCTACCATAGTTTGTCAAATGTTATCTCTAGCTAGTCTTCTGAACCATGAACATCATCCATGCTAATTCTTTTAAAAATTCTTTCAGCAGTTTTTTATACTCTTTAGAGTGTGAGCTTTGATATTTTTTCCTCAAATGTTTTTATTGTTTTTGATGCTGTTATAAGGGGCATTGTTTTTTCCCAAGGATTTTTTTTGTTTGTTTGCTTACTTGCTTGAAAATGTATAGAAATGCAATTAGCTGTGTTTGATCTCCTTGTTTCATTTTGTTTGGTTTGGGATTTTTGAGACAAGGTTTCTTTGTGTCCTGGAACTGACTCTCAAACTCAGATATTTGCCTGCCTTTACCTCCTAAGTGCTGGGGTTAAAGGTGTGCACCACCACTGTGGCTATACCTTGATCTTTTATCTTGCAACACTGATGAGTGCATGAATGTGAAATTCATTTAGTGTGAGTGTAGTCCTCACACTAATAGTGTAGTCCTTAGGATTTTCTGTGTCCATGGTCCTGTAATGTCAGTAGAGATGCTTTTATTTCTTTACATTTTATTTATATGTTTGTGTTTTTCAGTATGAGTGTATGCCAGTGAGTGCAGGTGCTCAGAAAGGCCAGAAAAGGGCATCAGATCCCCTGGAACCTGTGCTATCGGTGGTTGTGAGCTGCCCTCTGTGTGAGCCCTCTGCAGCAACAGCCATCTCTCCAGCCCATCTCCCTTGACCTGGGTGCTGGGGATGGCTCTCAGGATGTTCAACATAGTGAACCGGATTTTGTTTCTATGTCATGTCTGAGATTAATTGCCCAGGAGGCTGAGTGCTGTCTGCCCCTCAGTTGGTGCTTCTTTGTTTCTGGGTGTGGAGGAGTAAGTAGTTCCCTTCCTTTGCAGATAATGTCATGAAGGCCCTCCTATGTGGTAGTGTGCTGAGCTGCCTCACTTAGAAGTGTACTACAGAGTGTGTGTATGATGGAGGGCTGGAGAGATGACTCAGTGCTTAGGAGCACAGCCTGCGCTTCCAGAGGTCCCGAGGTCAATTCCCAGCACCACATGGTGGCTCACAGCCATCTGTATGGGATCTGATGTCCTCTTCTGGGATAAAGGTGTACATGCAGATGAAACACTCATTAAAATAAAATAAATCTTTTTAAAGGAAGAAATGAAGCTGAGAACTGCATGTGAGCATGCATGTATGTGTTTTTTCCTGCTCCTGACTGCGTGTATGATGTGACCAGTTGTCAAAGCTCCTGTAGCTTGAATGGTGACCTGGAGTTGGGAGTCAAATAACCCTACCCCTCCTACTTGCTTTCTTGTCAGGGTATTTTATCACAGCAAGAGAAGTGAAACTAGAGTATCACCCATGACCAGCCGGTCTGAAGCTAAGTGGGAAATTCCAGAGAACTCGTCCTTGCCGGTGCGTGTTGCTCTGAGTGGGTGATGAAATGTCAGTGGCCACTCAGTCCTGTGGTGAGATGGAGCCCACACCGTGCTGCTGTCCGGCAGCCACTGAGCAGCCCCTGTGCGCATGCATCAGTTCTGCAGGGAGACATCACCATCTCTGTGCTCAAACACCTCTGCTTTTACTGAGCGACCCCAAAGTACAAGATGATGTTGGAAACTGGGCTGTGTCAAAGGGGAAGCTAAAGTTACTCCTTTCAGTGCAACGATGAAAAGGCTTAATTCAGTTTTTAGACAGGGTCTCACTATGCAGCGCTGCTGGCCTGGAAATTGCCATGTAGACCAGGCTGGTCTTGAACACAGAGAGATTCACATGCCTCTGTCTCCAGGGTGCTGTGGTTAAAGGCATGGGCCACCCTGCTGGGTGAAAATTCTTCACCTCATTTTATGATGTAGGAAAAGCATAGTGTATTTATGGGGTTCATACGCTACTTAACTTCAGGCTCTCACAAGGTTTCTATCCCCCATGAAAAAAGGGGGGATATCCTATTTTAGCACCTGGGATCAGCCCAGGGATCTCACGTTCAGCAAGCACACTGCTTCCCACTTCTTCTCCTCAGTGACAATTCTCATCCTCATTGCGCAATAGCTGAGATACAATTGTACAGAATGGGGTGCATAACTGTCAGAACGTGGCCGTTAACCCTGGTCCCGCTTTACTTCCTTTTCTTAGCAGCCGGTAATGTGTTCGTTTGGATGAAAATTTACCTAAACCGTCTCAAGACAAAGCACCTTTGCCAAGGAACCTTCAGCTTTTAGTCAGACCCTTGCTCCACGAGTTCACAGCAGTTCAATGTGTGCTTGGAAGGGAGAGTTGTGCCTTGCAGGCAGTGCTGGGGCTTTGGTGCTCACATCAGACTCTGCCACTTGGCTCTGGAACTCCAAAGCAGGGCTCTGATAGCAAAATGGGAATGAAGACTGCAGGCCCCGTGTGTGGTGTGTGTCTTCTCCCACTTCTCCACATGTCAGTCCACAGATGTCCTGACAGCTCCCACTCCTGTCAGTGAGACCCGCAGCTGCTGCTGTGTGCTCCTTCTGGGCATTTGGAGCTCAGCACACGAGAGAAGGACTTTGTAGCAAGTCCAGCTGGGGAATGTAATCTCAATCCGACCCAAATTATCTCTGTGCTTTCAGTATTGGTTACGGGCTTGCACTTCCTGTTCTGCTTTTTTTTTTTTTTTTTTTTCGAGACAGAGTTTCTCTGTGGTTTTGGAGCCTGTCCTGGAACTAGCTCTTGTAGACCAGGCTGGTCTTGAACTCACAGAGATCCTCCTGCCTCTGCCTCCCAAGTGCTGGGATTAAAGGCGTGCGCCACCACCTCCCGGCTGCACTTTCTGTTCTGAACACAAATGCTGGCGCGTGCTTGAGAAGTCGCCGCCATCTGTTCTATAGGGCAGTTGTTTTCCAGGAAAGCCCCTGGCTTGTAGACTTCACCTGAATGGTGGTGAAGGCTTGTGCTTTATGTTGGAGGCCTAGAGTCTTGTTTTCTTGTTTGTTTGTTTTTCAAGACAGTGTTTCTCTGTGTAGCTTTGGAGCCTGTCCTGGAACTCGCTCTCTAGACCAGGCTGGCCTCGAATTCACAGAGATCCACCTGCCTCTGCCTCCCGAGTGCTGGGATTAAGGGAGTGTGACACCAGTGCCTGTCTGAATAGTGTTTCTTTATTAGGCCCATAACTTTATAGAAAAAGGGAACTCATTCTTTAAAAAATTAGCTACAGCAAAAAGACCTTGGGCACTGTGGTGGCAGACTCCTAAAATCCTAGCGTGTGGGAGCAGAGGCAGGGAGATAAGGAGGAGCTCAAGGCCAGTCTTGGTTTTGTGAAAACCTGTCTCAAACAATAACGAAACCCAATTAACTGGTGGCCATCTGAAATCTTTGTTTCTAATCCCACATTCATGTTTGACCAGTGCTCACACGCATATTCATGTTTGACAGTGCTCACACGCATATTCATGTTTGCAGTGCTCACAGTTGCTAAAGTGTGTCCATAGTGTGTTTTGTGTTTCTGCACTTCATAAAGTTCAAAAGTACATTTTCCTGCTCTTTATATCCAGTATATGAACCTCAGTATTTGCTTCACAGAATGCAGAGGCCCTGGACCCACGGGGTCGGACGTTATTGCATCTTGCGGTTTCTTTGGGACATTTGGAATCTGCTCGAGTCTTGCTGCGACATAAAGCAGATGTGACCAAAGAAAATGGCCAGGGATGGACAGGCAAGTATCCATATTAGCCATGCATTCATCTCCATGTTTCTGGGAAATGATGAGTCTCAGTGGTAATTTTTCTCTTAGTCAGCTCTGTCCATCTCAGGGCAATAGCAGGGCTGACAAGATGAAGCCAGAATACTGGCCTCACACTCCTGACCCCTCGGTGGAGGGTGACTTGTCTTCCAGAAATGGCCATTCCAGCATCTGTCAGCAAGGTCAGTTTTACCCTGGTGTGGTTGGAACTCCATCGAGGCCAGCAGTGTAGGTGAAATCAAAGACATGAGTGCCAGAAGTAGCCTCTTGCCGTGAAATCTTGGTGTTCGCTGTTTGGATACCCTCTTACTGTTAGTAACAATAGTTTTGTGGGGACCACGCAAGAACACCTGTATGTGGAAGTAAGTCCCCCCTGCCAGAGCTACGTGTAGTCATGGCAGTGTGAGTACCCGAGGAGGCCAGTAAATATACTACGCTTTCCTTGATGAAATGATGAGTTAGCGATCGGAAGCCATGGCTGTTCCTCATCAACCCCAGTTTCAGTCCTCCGCTCTCTGAAGCACATGCTGAGCTGCGCACTTGGCTTTTCATGTTGGCACTGGGATTTGTCAGAGAACATGCAGATACTCAGTGATTGAGCTTTGCCCTTTTGTTTTCTAGTTTTACATGAAGCAGTGAGCACGGGTGACCCCGAGATGGTGTACACAGTCCTGCAGCACCGAGACTACCACAACACATCCATGGCCCTCGAAGGTGTACCTGAGCTGCTACACAAAATTCTTGAGGTAGCCATAAGACTGGCCACACCACACTCTGAGCCAAACACTGCCATGATGGCTGGAGACAGCTCCACAGCCTTGTGATCTTCCCTAAGTCTTAAGAACAGTGAATATGGTGTTTTGTTGCCAGATAGTGCTGATCTCTGCCTATCTTGTCTTGTTGCAGTGCAAGGTCTGTTTCTTACAAGTGTTGTTTCTGGGGTACAATGCTTATCTTTTTCAATGCCACTTTAACACTCAAGCCTAAGGATAATGGATGCCAAACACAATTTGCCCAGTGCCCTGTGTTCCTAACAGCAGAGCCCTGTGCTGAGGCCATCTCACGGGAATAGTGATGGGCACAGTGGCCGTGTAGGCATTGCCAGGGTCTGGGACGACACCTCACCACTCTTGTCACCTGTAGCCACTAGCATAGCTTTGAATCCGTTTCCTTAATTTACTTGCAGTTACTGGCTTTGGGAACATTATCTGTCTTGTGAATCTCAGTGTGAGAGAGAGTGCTATGGTTCTGAGATCTTTCTTTACAACCAGGTAGTTTGGGATGATGGCTGCTGTTCATTAGGTGATCTCTGCTAGTGAAGGGACCGACTCCCAAACACCTGTGATCTGCCCAGGGCAGCAGTAGACAAAGGCAGTGGACGCTCCCCCTTCATTGTTCTGGAGTCTCAGCTTAAGCAAGAAGTAACTTTCCTGGAACAGCTACTTAGCTATTAACCAGTTAAGTCAGCTTCACAGCCTTAGTTAAGGCCCGTTCTTAAGAAACATGGCTGTATGGAGAGAGGGAAAGCTGGCTATAAACCATTGTCTGAGCACTCTTTAGAGCAGCTGTCTGAAGCTTAAGAGAAATCTTGTGAAGATACTCATTTCTCATGTACCCACGATGAAACTTCCCATGAAGTGTAAAGTAGTTACATATGTTGTTTTAAAAATCGATGTCTGTTTAGCGGTGTGTAGAGGTCACGTGGTTCTGCCATTTTCTCATCTGAGTTACTGTAAGTGGAGCCAAGTCATTTTTCCCCAAAGCAGTGCTCGTATAGCTCAGACTGGTCAATCCAGGATGACGGAGCTTCTGATCCTCCCGCCTCCACCTCCTAAGGCTGGGATCACAGGCGTGCACCATGCTTAGTTCATGTAGTGCTGGGATGGAATTCAGGGCTTCTGGCCTGGCGGGCAAGTACTGTATACACTGGGCTACGTTACCAGTCTTCCAGTTGTCTGTTTGACAAGAGAGAATTAGGATTCAATGTAGAGGATTTTTTTTAAAGACCTGTATTAACCCTTAGAAGTGGGTTACATTGCTGTGTTTCATGCTTCAGTCCTTAAATAATTTCTAGTGGCACCACAAGCTATTGTTAATGATTGTATGTCTCAGCCATGTCTCTTAGAACATATGTGAGCATTCCTTTCTTACGAGCTGTCGTTGGACGTGGTCTTTGCCCAATATTAAAATCTTGGTTTTACTCAGGGTAGATTTCCTTGCCTTCTGCTCTATGCAGGGACAAAAACCATTGCAAAGCCTTGGTGGGAGAATAAGGAAAATTCAGTCTATAACCTGCCCCTCAAGACAGTCTCACTTCGTAGCCCTGTGCAGAGCCTTGGAGGTGGAAGAGTAATGGAAGAATAAGGAAATAGTTTGACCTATTCTGTCCCTAAGATAGGGTCCTACTATGTAGCCCCAGTTATCCTGGAACTCAGTGTGTAGACCAGGGTGGCCTCAAACTTAGAGACCTCTGTCTCTCAAGTGCTGGGATTAAACACATGCAGCACTATGCTGGGCACACCTCTCTTTTTGGACAGTCAGTTGGCTTTCTTAAGTAGCCCTTCAAGAGCCTTCTATAAGAAATTAATGAGAGCTGTGCACACACACACACAATCCTGAGACAAGGATGTTGTGGTGGCATAACTTCAGAAAGCCAGATTCTAAAAGTTTAAGAGAAAACTGGGGCATTGGTTAAGCAAAGGGAAACCCCCTTCCTGAAGAGGTGATGTCTAGCCTCCCATTTTCATTTGTGTACTCTTGGCCAGTAAATAGGAAGCACTTCCCAGCACATCCAGCCTTTACAGCCAAGAAGAGCCCAGAGAAGAGCCGGAACTGTGAATTGCCTGACCCGTTCTTAATTCTCTAATGCTGGGAGCCTGATGGGCTTGGGTAAAGTTTACACCCCAACCCAGTCACTGTTCTGTTAACTTTTTTTTTAAGTGGCATTTACTTATTTGGAGTGAGGGGGTGCATGTGTACCACAGCATATATGTTGTGAGCTTCACAGGACGTCTGGGGGAGTTGGTTCTCTCCTTCTACCATGTGGATCCCAGAGAAGGAACTTGGGCCATCAGTCTCGGCTGCGGGGCACCTTTGCCCGCTGAGCCATAGGCACCTCTTAGCTTTCTTAGCTGTGTGCAAGTGTTTTCATCTGGACAAAGTGACAGATCAGATAGAAGTTATTTGTTTTAGGGTGTGCATAGTTGCTTTCTCTCTCTCCTCCCTTAATTGTTTAAGAAGCCACATTAGACCCTGCGGTGGTGGCAGCGCAGGCCTTTAATCCCAGGATCTCTGTGAGTTCGAGGACATCCTGGTCAACAGAGGAGTTCTAGGACAGGCTCCAAAGCTACAAAGAAACCCTGTCTCGGAAAAAAAAGAAAAGGAAGGAAGGAAGAAAGGAAGGAAAGAAGGAAGGAACAAGAAGAAGAGCCACATAACCCTGCTGTGTGGGTTTGGTTGTTTGTGTCAGGGTCACCTATTGTAAACCTTTGTCTGCTCTTCAGGCCCCGGATTTCTATGTGCAGATGAAATGGGAGTTCACCAGCTGGGGTGAGTGGCTATGGGTTTGGGACTTACTTGTTTTCAAATTTACATAGCCTGTTGATAGGTTTATGTTCCTTTACAAAAGCTGTGTGGGTGTGTGTTAAATTCAAATCTGGTAGCTGACCTGCATTCCATGTAGTTTCCTCTAGCCTGAACATGGATAAATATAGCATACAGGCACTCTGTTTCCTCCTTGCATTCTGTATCCCTGACACCCACTTTAGTCTTCTTAGGGTGAGTAGGGTTGGGTCACTACAGCCTTACCTGGCTTTCTGCTCTCTGTAGCCCATGCTGGCCACAGATTCTTGTCGGTCCTCCTGCCCCTTGGCCTCCTGTGTTGGGATGACAAGTGTGTGCCGAAGCTTGCAGCTTCTTTAGGAAGCAGGGTCTTTTTGTGGCCCTGGACCCCTGAGCTCAGCTGGGACTAGGCTTGTGTCCTCTGGCCGCCTGGCCGTCTGTTTGAAATGCCTTTTGTAATGCTAACATTTTCATGACTTACTACAATTTGTTACTTTTCTTATGTTGCTTAGCTTGATTCTTCCAAACTTGTTATTCTGGGGAAAATGAGGCAAATATTGAAATAGTTTTCTTTCTTTCTTTTTAATTTTCTACAAAATGCATGTATTTCCTCAGACTGCTCTGTAAAGATGATATATTTACGTAGGTATCTGCTTTTCCTTCTTGTGGGTCAGTGAACTAACACTTGATTTTGATAGCTTTTCATCTCAGTAGTATTTCTAGCTTTGATAAAAACACAGCAGAGTTTCGATCCTTGATAGATTGTGAATGGAGGCTACAGCGTGGCCGTGTAGCAGTGGACGTGTGAGTGAGAAGTCCAGGTGGGCCCACTCCTCAGCCCTGGAGGTTCAGTCCAGGCAAAGAAGACTGCTGCCAAATTTGTTGACTGTTTTCTCTGATGAGTTAGAATAAAAGACTCATTTTTCTTTATTTCCTGTTAATTTATTTAATGCTGGGAATTGAGCCCCAGGGCCTGGTGCATGCTAAGCATGCCCTGAACCACTAACCACACCACTAGCCTTCCTGGTTATGTCTGTCAGTCTGTCTGTCTGTCTGTCTGCCTGCCTGCCTGCCTGCCTGCCTGTGTTGCTGGGATTGAACTAAGTGTATGCAAGTGAGCTATCATGGGGATATAACTCCAGCCATTTAAAATTATTTTAGTTTAAAATGGCCTTACTAGGTTGTCTAGATAGCCTCAAACTTGCTATGTAGCCCAGGTTAACCTTAAAATGGGACTCCTGCCTCAGCCTCCTGAGTGCTATGAGTGGCATGCCCCACCTTGCCCAGCTTCCATTTCTGGTTTTTAGGATGAAATCCTTTACAAGCGTGAAGGAAGAAGTCCCACTATGTTTGGCCAGTCATGACCCAACCACTCTGCCCTGAGTTCCTGGCTCACACATTCTGCGTAGCCCTGTGTTTTTCTCAATAATATGCCTTTTTCCTCCAGTGCCCTTGGTTTCTAGAATATGCCCCAATGATGTCTGTCGCATCTGGAAGAGTGGTGCGAAGCTGCGCGTGGACATCACTCTGCTGGGGTTTGAAAACATGAGCTGGATAAGAGGGAGACGAAGTTTCATATTTAAGGGAGGAGGTGAGTCTGCATTGTAGTGATCCCTGCTCACTGTGTTGCCCTGGCTGGCTGGAGCTCTCCTTGTAGACCAGGCTGGTCTCTGCCTCCTGATGCTGATGGTAAAGGTGTGCACCACCATGTCCAGCAGCCCAGTAATTTTGAGCCTTCAAAATGTATTTGTATTTTATTCTTTATCTATTGGAAGCTTCGTCTTTGTGGCTGTTGTAATTAGTTCTTTGGCACTGCACCCCTCTCCTTTTGGAGACTGGCCAGTTCCCTGCTCATTTCATTCATTACTTCACCCCGGTTGTCTGTCACCTGTCACTTTGCTGAGCCTTGGAGTAAACACCTTCTGTGTCATTCTGTGTCCCTTCCTGACCGGGCACGGTTCCTAGTTTAGGGTGGAGAGCAGCATTGCTCTCTAGAGTCTGAGCAGAGCACTAACTTCAGCGGTGGTCTCTGAAGGTTGTAGGGGAAATGTGCTGCTAATAGAAAAGGAAAATTAGTTTTAAAATCTCCATTTTGGGCACGATGCTCTGGGGTCTCCTATGAGTTGTAGATCGCTGGCCAGACAAACACCGTGCAAGGAGAGTCAGTAATCAGGACTCAGTGGGGGTGTGTTCCCTGTCACCCTGAGCGCTGGCTGATTCAGCCTCCAGTTTCTGGGGGTGGGGAGTAGGACAGAAAGAAAAAAGAAAAAGCCAAACAAGTGTGCTGTAGGTGCCAGCAGTGCATGTGAGGGCTGACGGGTGAAGGTGGCATCGCTGGCTCTGTCTTCCTCACACTAATGTTCTTGTTAACAGACAACTGGGCAGAGCTGATGGAAGTCAACCACGATGACAGAGTGGTCACCACTGAACACTTTGATCTTTCCCAAGAAATGGAGCGCCTCACCCTGGACCTCATGAAGCCAAAAAGCAGGGAGGTTGAACGGCGGCTCACAAGCCCAGTCATCAACACCAGCCTTGACACTAAAAATATCGCCTTTGAAAGGTGCGGATTTAGAGCCCAGTTTACCATCTAGTTTGGGGACTGCCTTCATTAATGGCATATTTGCAGTAATTGGAAATTGTGACAGGATTAGGACCTTTTCTTTTCTAATATGGTTGATGCTAGAGGATTTTAAAAGGGATCTCCAGTGCCATCCAAGTAAGAGCCGTCCGGCTGCTGGTGACTCAGTGTGACTTGAGCTAATCTGACGCTGCTCTGGATCCAGCGTCCTTTCTCTCCATGGATGTGCTAACTACGCTCTTCCAGATTGTTTTCTCCTTTCCACTGCACAGTTGGTGAAGAAAACAGAGAGGTCTCTTTAGGCAAATCTAAAACATAATTGCCTTTTTCTTTTTGTTTAAGTAAAACCATGAAAGCATGGTGTCTGCAACAGAGAGGACATGGAGCTGGTGTTGTGTCTGGGGGTCGCTTCTGCTTTGGAATTAGGAACTGGATTCTTGAAGAAGGAAGTGTTCTTGCCAGGCTCCTGGCTAGGGATATCGAGGGTTAGGGACCAACTGGGACCATCCACAAAGATCTCGCTAGAGGTCTGGTTTTCATTATGCACCTCTCCAGGCTGTGAGGTCCTTCTGTGTGAAGCTCCAGACTGGAGGAGGCTGTTGTCACTGCCACAGCCTGTCAGTAGAGAAGAGAGCAGGGTGACTGACGGCAGTGGCTCTAGGCAAGTGGCCCAGCTCTCCAGTTTCCTTAGCTGGAAGGAAAACAAGCTCCTGAAAACCTGGAACCCTAAGGTCGTAGATTCCCTGTTGCTTACTGGGATTGTTAGAGCCATTGTTTATGATGAAGTAAGTGTTGCTTATCCAGGGTGTGTGGACTGGCTTTAGTTAACTGAGTGCAGATGGGAAACAAGAGTGCCTTCCTTTGTACTGAGGACGCAGGTACATTGTGTCTTCCCATGGTTACAGGGTTTTCAGAGGGCTCGAGCTGGCTTTCCTGATGCTGCCAGTGGGCTGAAGGGAGAGTGCTGGAGACAGCTGTTTGCTCTCTTCTGTTTTAATGGTGCTCGTATGTGATCAGTGCCCTGAGACATACGTAGAGCTTTGAGCCATTCCTGAGTGTGAGGTTTGGGGACTCAGATGTGTGAACAGTCATGTATGGTTCTCGTGGTTCTTTGCCATGTTACAATGGGTGCTTTAGTCCTTTTCCTGGTCTGTACTAGGAATTTGACACAAACACTACCCTTCCTGATGAGCTTTGACCCATGGTTTGCACTTGTTGCACCGGGATTTTACTCTTTTCCCAAAAAGACTATGCTGTGCCATATTAGGAAAAAAATCCCTACCACTTCAGAGCTGCCTTTAAATTGTATAATAGTCACTAAATCACAGTGTCTGCTAAGTGACCTTGGCTGTGTTGGTCTCAGGTGGGACAGACAGGAAGGAGGAAGCTGGGTTCTTTTCAGATGCCTGTGTATGTAGAGCTAGTGAAGGCACGAGGAGTCAGAGCAGCCAGGTTTAAAATAGTAGACACTGACACTGGGCATTCTAACTCAGCCGCTGTCAGAGTGGAGCTGCGAGGGGGGGGGGGGGCGCAGTGAAGAGCATGGAGGCCCAGCGAGCACTGACGCGGCATGGACTGGAGTAAGCATTGGCACCCCTGAGGCTGCGTGTCGGAAATGGCAGTTTCCCAGCTTACACACCATTGATGTCGCAAAAATAAGGAACTTTGGGATGATTTAACCAAACAGAATATCTCGATTTTTGTTATTGGTGACAGCAAGAGCTATGACTTGATAGTTATTGGGCATGGTCCCAAACCCCTGTTCTTGTTTGTGCAATGGAAGCTAGAGCAGCCAGCATTTGCTATAATTCCTTTAGGACTTCATCTCTTGCCACGTGGCTCTTATTGTACTAACTGTAAACTCCCAAGAGGAAAATTAACATCCATGGGTCTTCCTTTTATGATGGGTTAAAACAGACATATAAACCCATTATGTCCCAATTTGATATGGGAAACTGGAAACATAAAATGTAAAAGCTGCATTCTGCTTTTGTGATTTGTCTAACCTGCCCCTGTTCTCTGAGCTTCCTGTGTCCACTTCACTCTGTCAGACAGCACAAAGGGAAGACTTTTGGCAACTTTACATAGTGCCAGGCAAAGTCAGGATGTGATGTTCTAGATAAAGGGAGGACTGGACTGCTCCTGAGGGGAAACACCTCCAGAGCAAGATGTGCTGAAAACAGTTCACACCCAGGAGTGGCGGGAAGTGCTTGTCTGTAATCCCAGCACTCTGCAGGTGGAGGCAAGAGGCTCACTGGTTTGGGACCAGCCTGGCCCACTTAGCAGCATCCTGCCTTGTTGTTTGTTTGTTTTTGTTTTTGAGACAGGGTTTCTCTGTAGCTTTGGAACCTGTCCTGGAACTCACTCTGTAGATCAGGCTGGCCTCAAACTCACAGAGATCCACCTGCCTCTGCCTCCCCAGTGCTGGGATTAAAGGCAGTGTACCACTGCTGGCTGCAACATCCTGTCTTTAAAGCACAGCACACAAAAGAAAAATCAGAACCTAGGAGCTGTTCTTGGATCCTGAATACATTTCCCCCCAGAAGTGTGCAGCCCTAGAACTGGGTTTCTACAGCTCCCTGGGCTCCCTCAAAAGTCGTCTATAGATTGGAATCGGTGTCTGGGCTGAAAAGGCCCTTCCCACATCCTTCCCTCCTCTCTACCTGAGCTGAGGGACACAGGACTCAGTCACTGTGGAAGCGTTGATTGCCTTTCCTGTTCCATCTGCCCTTCTCCGATAGGTGAAGAGCTCCGTGCCTAACTTCTGAGAATTCCTGGATGGAGGTGGAGGCTTTTATGCCCCTGCCAGCAGTAGATGACCCAGATAAAAGTTCTGACCCAGATACCTCCTTGTAGTAAGCAAGACCTTGAAACACTGGTCATCCTCACTTCTTTAGGATCGCTGTCCAAAAAATGTCACCTTTGTCCCCTGTGCTGGCAGTTCCTGTTTAAAAGCCAAAAGTGAAAGCTGTCTTTGTCTGGAGTGAGGCAAACTGATTGGTAACTGTGGGCGGTGGGTGGGAGATGTTTAAGGCATCTGTCATTGGTAGCATCCTTTTTTGGACAAGGGGACCATGATTTCCAAGTATCTTTGACTAACTTAAGCTGGGGACTGTAAAGGCTGTAGGGGTGAAATCTGAATGGCATATTATACATGTAGAAATTTGTGGTGTTCACTTTTTATCAGAACTAAATCCGGATTCTGGGGCTGGAGGACAGATAAAGCAGAAGTTGTTAATGGTTACGAAGCAAAGGTAAAAGGAAACTCTTAAAAAAAATAAGATTATTATAGCTTTTTAGCTTCTGTGCAAATGAGGAGCCTGTTCTGATTGTTTCCATGCATCTGCAGGGGACCCTGGGGAACAGCCCTAATGTGTCTCTTGCTGAGGTTTATCTAGTGGTTTCCAGAAAATGGATAGCATGCCCTGAGCAGGTCTGTGGCTTTCCTAAAGAGAAATGATTGCTGAGAAATGAGCCAGTCATTCCTTTGATTTTATTTTTTACATTAAATTTTATCAGTTTATCTTTTTAAAGAAGTTACCACGTAGTAAGTAATTTCTGTGAATCTTTATTACTTAAATTCTAATTGATTTCTAGAGCTGATGCTGGCTCAGTTTTTAAAGACTAGCCCAGCCCACTTACGTGGCACCACTAAGCTGAGATACCACTGTAATCATAGGGATACCTGTCATATCATCTGACATTTTATCAACTGACAAGCTGTTTGTTGGACTTTCTTTAGTGTACAGCAGGGATGGAGGAAATCAAGTGTTGTAGGGTCCTTTGCTGGCCTCTGGGTGAGAAAAAAAAAAAGCTCCATCATGTCCAGCAAGCTGCATTAGAGATGGCTGCTGTGGTCACTGTTGTCTGCAGCTGTCAGCACACAGCAAACCCAGACCCTCAGACAGGCTGAGGGCACAGCTCAGGCTGCCAGTTAGAAGAAGACTTTTTTCTTTTGTCAGTAGAAAGGATGCTGGTGCTCTCTGATCTCCCAGGTCTAGAGAACCTGGGTTCAGCTAAGTCAGTAGTTAGAAGAGCACCATGGATCACAGGAGGCAGGTTTAGGAGCAAGAGGAACCCAGTGGAACTGTTTGCCGAGCCCCTTTCGCAGCAGGAAGTGCAGGTCCCCAGGCTCCCGCAGCAGGAAGTGCAGGTCCCCAGGCTCCCGCAGCAGGAAGTGCAGGTCCCCAGGCGGGAGCCGTCTTTCCATCTGGAGGAGACTGGGGTTGCTGACTGGGTCCCAACTTTAATTTTGCTGGGTTTGCTTGGCTTTGCTGCAGCATTCTTAGTCTTGCTATGCTTGAGTTGCCTTGGATTCCCTGTGTCATTGTTGTCTTTTGCACACTTCTCTCAAGGTTTACACAGTAAACAATGTGAGTGTGATAACCAAAATACGGACAGAACACCTGACGGAGGAGGAAAAGAAGAGATATAAAGGTAATGAGCACCCCTGACTCCTTCTGGATGATCGTGTGACCACGTAGAGCGGGGGTTCTCGGCCTTCCCAATGCTGCGACTCTTCTCTCACATTGTGCTGACCCCACCATAACATTATTTTCATTGCTACTTCATAACTGTAATTTTGCCACTGTTATGAATCATAATGTAAATATCTGTGTTTTCTGGTGTTCTTAGGTGACCCCTGTGAAAGAGTCGTTTGACACCCCTCCAGGGGTTGTGACCCATGAGTAAATGTGTTTGGATATGCAAATCCTAACTTCTCTTCCTAAACATTTCCTTAGTCTGACTCATTCTTGGAGTTTTTCACAGTTGATTTCCGTCGTAATTAAAGCCATTCATTCACAAGGGCTTGTTTATGTGTGTTATTGCAAATAACTTGGATTTAGCAGCAGCAACAACAGAAATGGAGCATGAGAAGATATTGGGGGATATTATCACTGGGATGAGTGACTTTACCTCACCGCAGTGATGAGATTTTCATGAACCTTGGCCTCCGGTCACTATATCCTGGCTTTGCCAGCTCCGTGGCCTTGTGAAGTTGTCTGTGCTGTAGGCCTCGTGTTCCTCTGTAGTAGAATGGAGGTGGTACTAGGCCACTCTTAAAGTCACTGAGAGGATTCAGTGAGTTGGCATGTGGCATATGCGATCATCTAGAAAGTGCAGGTAGCAGCTTGGCCACCAGCTGTGCTCCGGGTGTACAGGCTAGTGCCAGAGCACAACACTGAGTGGCTAGGGTGAGGGATCCATCTAGCTGTCTCCTAAGCCAGTGCTAAAACTGCTCTACTTGAATTCTTGTTTTTTTTTTTCATTTTCCTAATGATGTATGTTAATCACATATAACAATGGTTTCCATGGTAATACTGCTTGGATTCCTATAGTGGTTCCTCTAGGCTAAAGTTCCTAATGAGAGGATATTCTGGGATAAGCTCACCTCATGGGTGTCTTTTATCTCCCTGCCTATAAGTGGAATTGTTACTGGGATCAGGAGGGCTTGATTCTGTTGATCTTCCCTCCTTTCTAGAGGACCGGAATCCACTGGAGTCTCTGCTGGGAACTGTGGAACATCAGTTTGGTGCTCAAGGGGTGAGTTCTTCTGTTTGTGATGGCCACTGGGTCCTGAGTAGGTCACTTGACTTGGAAAGGAACATCAGCTCCCAAGGTGCACTATGGATACTCTTGTAAATAGAGGCAGGATTTTCCTTTGGTACCTGTCGTCTGGTCCCAAACAAACACACAAAAGCTTGTATTAATTACGGAACGCTCGGCCAAAAGCTCAGACTCACTACTAACTGGTTCTTACATTTAGATGAACCTATTTCTATCTAATCTGTGCTTTGCCACGTGGCTCACAGCTTTACCCATCCTCTAGCATCTCGCTCCCTGGGCAGCTCCCTGGGGTCTCTCTCCGAGTCCACACTCTTCCCTATTTTCAGTTTGTCTTTCCCACCTGCTTTCCTGTCTACTAATGAGAGTGATGCATATTCACAGCACACAGAAGGGTTATCCCATAGCATACTCTTTGGGGAGAAATTAGATGAAGGAGACTTTGAAAAAAATCTAGATTTTGGAGTAAGGGTTGGTCCTAGAATCGGGCTCTCTTCTCTGGGATAAACAAGGACCTTCTCTGAGCATGGCACTTGAGACCGGCTCAGGGCTTTACACTGCTCAGCAACCGTTTTTTTGATCCCCAACTAACTGTGCATTTGGTACATTGGGTACGAGCTTCCACACCCACGCCTCCTCACATGGCTGTGTCTTCCATACCTAGGACATAAAGATGGAAAGAGGGTGTGGATGGAACTGGGAAGGCTGTTAGACTTGCTTGTTCGTGTGGTGAACACATGCAGCCGGTTGTGGGGCTGTACTTTAGAGTCAGGCAATTCTGACCCATAATTTCTGGCACAGCAGGACCTCACCACAGAGTGTGCCACCGTAAATAACCCCACGGCCATCACACCCGATGAGTACTTTGATGAAGACTTTGATCTGAAAGACAGGGACATTGGAAGGCCAAAAGAGCTGACGATTAGAACACAAAAGTAAGTGGAAGATGTGGCCCCTTGTTCACTCATGGGACCATCTGAAACTGTGCTCTTCAGAGTTGGGTTTGATCATTCCTTCCCCCTTCCTTTAAAAGTAATGTTGAAGCTACTTAATCTGACAAATCCAACAGTAACCGGCTCTCTGCTTAGCCTTTGTCACAGGGGAGCACCTTTGTTCTGTATTGATCTATTTTATTCACTGCTAGTAAATCTCAGTTGATAAATGAAGTGCTGTTAAGCCCTTTCCCTTCACTGTCAGGTTTCAGAGTTCCTCGGGTTCCATTCCGTCACAAGTCCTGGTTCAGGAATAATGGGGGAGGGGGAGGGGGCTTCTGAAGGGTGCTCTGTCTAGTGCTGAGTAGCAGTGACCTGCCCCCCCCCCCCAACACTCACTGTCAAACCCTGCAGGTTTAAAGCTACACTGTGGATGTGCGAAGAGTTCCCTCTCTCCCTTGTGGAGCAGGTCATTCCTATCATTGACCTCATGGCTCGAACCAGTGCTCATTTTGCAAGACTGAGAGATTTTATCAAATTGGACTTTCCTCCTGGATTCCCTGTCAAAATAGGTATGGTTGCCGGACGGTGGTGGTGCACGCCTTTAATCCCAGCACTCGGGAGGCAGAGGCAGGAGGATCTCTGTGAGTTCGAGGCCAGCCTGGTCTACAAGAGCTAGTTCCAGGACAGGCTCCAAAAACTACGGAGAAACCCTGTCTCAAAAAAAAAAAAAAAAAAAAAAAAAACTAGGTATGGTTAAATTGAGGGTTAGCTTTTGGACTAGTGTGGACAAGGCGATTTTGGGTTTTGAATGGTGGAGTATTCATGACACTTGATTCCTGTCTTGATCACTTGCTGCTGTGATCTAGGAGAAAGTTCTTCACCTGGGTTTTACTCAGTCTCAGTTTTCTCATCTGTGGACTGGGTGTGTGTGTGTGCTGGTGGGGGGGGGAGGGGTGCGCTGCTGTGAGGACTGAAGAAAGCCTGCTGTAAAGTGTGCTTTATCATAATGTTAGCCAGTGGTTATTGTTTTCAGTGAAGTCTACTGATAGAAGCCTTTACTTTGTCAGAAATCCCCTTGTTTCACGTTTTGAACGCACGGATTACATTTGGAAATGTTAATGGCTGTAGCACTGCTGAAGAGAGTCACAATGTGGAGGGGATCCAGGCCGGCACAGGTACAGCTACAGGGCCGCGTCTGCATCCTAGTCCTGTGTCATTAACCGAACACTTTGAAGTAAGTCTGTGGTGCAGAAGAGAAACAACTATGGGTGCCGTGTCGGTTGGTCACTGCGAGAAGAACTTGGAAAACCTGGAGGAAGAAGGGTACATCTCGGCCACCGTTTCAGGTTGCTCAGTTGGCTCCATTCAGGAGGAGACTCTTTGTACTTTACAGTCCACCGAGTCTCCTTCGTTATGATTATGTGTTAGTTTCCACCAAGAACAATCAAAGAACAAGGAAAAACTGTCTTCTGGGGTGGATTTACACTTTCATCTTTTACATTTTAGTACTGGCAGCACTGAATTGCTGAACTAAGAGTTTCACGTGCTGGGCAAACTCTGTACCACTCAGCTACGCCCTGGCCCCTGAGTTGCTACTGGTTTCTTTTTAATTTGAAATGTTTTTAAGCTGAGTGCAATGACTCACGCCTGTAATCCCAGCACTTAGAGAAGCAGGAGGATCTGCGTCCAGCATGAGCACTACAATAAGATCCCCATATCAGGAAAGAACAGTCAAGGAAACAACTCCTCCCCTCCCCCAGACACTTGAAAACACACCATAGTCTGAGGCAGGAGGATTATGAGTCTGGAGCCAGCCTGGGCTATGTTTTGAGTTTGAGGCCAGGTAGACCCTTTCTCATAAAAACAAAAACATGAAGAAAAAAGTTGTCTGAGCTATCTGTAATGAGTGGGTGCAGACACTGGACAGCTGCCTTTGTGTTTCAGCTTCCGAGGTCACAAACTTCGAGGTTGATCAGTCTGTGTTTGAAATCCCTGAATCCTATCATGTTCAAGACAACGGCAGGAACGTGCATCTCCAAGATGAGGACTATGAGATAATGCAGTTTGCCATCCAGCAGAGCCTGTTGGAGTCCAGCAGGAGCCAGGTGCGCTGTCAGAACCCCGCCCCCCCCCCCATGCGTGCACCCCCTGTTCACTGAATTTTATAGCTCAGACTTGCTCTAAGAAAAAGTTTGGTGTGTTCACAATGTTTGTGCAGGTCATTTCACCATAGCTTGCTATTCAGGAGACCTACCGACATCACCATGGCTGCATTGTTGGTAATTAAAGGCAGACTTACTGTATGTAACTCAAGCTCACCTGTAGAGCTCTTGTGTAGTTTTCAAGGTGTGCTATATAATCTTCTAGAACTGAAGTAGTCTTAGTTAAGGCAGTGATGTGGACTTCACTGTGTAACAGTTTCTTAGACAGGGTGTGATAAAATGGAATCTCACTCTTGACAGTTTTTCCATTTTGAGGAGTCTTTTTAAACTCCTTCTGCATCTCAGAACTAAGAAAAGAGCACATTGCAGCAGGGGTGGGTGGTAGGTGGGAGGGTTAATGCCTTGTCCCCCGCTTCTGTGGCTTCTGGTGCTGCTGTCCCAGGAGGCTTGCCCTTCCACCTTCTGCTGTCCACTGCTCCTAGCTTGGGCAGAGGTCAGCTTTGGCCATAGACAACCTGCTGAGGACAAGGGAGTGCCAGCACTGTCTTTGTCCTTTTCCTGCCTTTTTCTCTAAGATAGGTCTCATATGCTCTGTAGTGGCCTTATGTCCCAGGATTTTGCTGTCCAGTTGTTGGTTATTGGTTTCTTCTTTCCTTCCACTGTCCATTCCTCAGGAATTTGCAGAGCATGCTAGGAATTCTTGGGAGCTATGAACTGTGAGCATGGTGTCCATGAGCCTGTCAGTGTTTACCAAAGCTTCCAGGGCTCGAGTAACCTAGTCCCACCCCCTCCTTGACTCCCCTCTGCCATCATAGACCCATTCCAGATTCATTTGTTGTACTTTTTTCTTTTTCATTAATTTTTTAAAATGTATATATATGTCTGTGTTTGGTGCATGAGGTGGCCAGAAGACTGTTAGATTTCTTGGAGCTAAAGTTATAGATGGTTATGAGCTGCCACATGGGTGCTGGGAACCAAAACTGGGTTCTAGAAAAGCAGCCAGTGCTCTTAAACACTGAGCCATCTATTTTTTGTGGGGAGTAGATGGGGTGGGGTTGATTTTTATTTACTTTTTTGACAGCTGGGCTATCTACTTTTGGGAAGCTCCTTGGAGAAGATTCAGCCTTGAGACAAAACATCAACTCTTGCTCTCCCTGTGCAAATGAGCTTGGCTTGCTCTCCTGATGGTAGCCATTGAGGACAATAACTGGAGACCAGGGCCACCAGTACCCAACTGTGTCTTCTCAGCTTGTCTCTAAAGCATGCCCTGCTTTGGCTATGTGGCTGTCATCCTAGGGCAGTGGTTCTAGATGGAGCTCTGTCAAGTCTGAGAAGGTGGTGGCCCTGGATCCAGGGTAATGCCTGATGCTCTGTACCATACAGTGGGGAAGTGTAGTGCTGGTGTCCACACAGCACAGTCAGCAACAACTTATGAATGCTGTACATTTTGTTCTCACTGTGTTCATTTCCTTGTCATTTTGGAATACTTCTACGAGGTATTTATACCCGTCGTTTGTTTTTGCCAGGAACTTTCAGGACCAGCTTCAAATGGAGGGATCAGCCCCACCCACAGCTATGAAGCCCAGTATGAAAGGTAACTGAAGGGACTTTTCATGATGTGGCTTTTGTTGGCACGGCACTTGATACATGGGCATCTGTGTGGCTCGTGCTCAGCAGGGAGTTGAGGCGTCAGCTTTTGTGCTTCTTTTATTGTGGTTATCCATTAAACCAGCTCTGACCTGAGTGCTGACTGGCTCACAGGCTAGGGCTGCTTGCAGCAAAGCCCTAGGTAAATGTTTTCTTTTTGGCTTGGTCTTCTGTGAATGTGCGATTGCAGGTCTAGCTGGGTGAGGATAGGCAGGGCTAAAGACAGTTGGGGTCGAGCTACGGAAATGGTGGAACCTGCAGTAGTGCCTCCTCCTTCCTATGGGCAGCATGTGTGAGCACTGCTTTCTAACAGACCGGACTTCATTCATAGCTTAGAACTGGGGCATGCTGGCTCACACAGGCCCCGCACCTCCACCTCAGCAGAGTGGACGTCATCATGCATCAGGAGTGCTTGGTACAGTGTGCTCTTAGTAATCAGTAAGAACGTAGTTGCTGCCACCACCTCCAGGATGGGAATAACTCTGTTCCATTTTCTACCCTAGGGCCATCCAGGAGAGCCTTCTAACCACCATGGAAGGCTCGTGCCCAGGTGCCCTCAGTGAGTCGAGCCGTTTTGATAGTGACCTGCAGCTGGCCATGGAACTATCTGCCAAAGAGCTGGCGGAACAGGAACTAAGGCTCCAGGAGGAAGAGGCCGAACTCCAGCAAGTCTTACGGCTGTCACTCACTGAGAAGTAGACATTTCTGTCCAGGGGCTGCACAGAGTAGAGGCTCTGGGCTGCATGGGGGTGCTTCGTCAGCTGCGACCCTACAGCAGAGGCCTACACTTCCTGCAGGCAGCAGCTGCCCTTCCTTTATGCAAAGGTGCAGGACCAGGGACTCCCCAGAGTGGAGGAGGGCAGCACTGGTAGGCCCCATCTCCAGGCTGAGGGAGGAGAGTATCATCACCTTCCATTAGCTGTCCTGGCCTGCAGGTCACATTTTTACTACCAGCTTTAGACGGCGACACCAAGCCCTGCAGGTTAAGTAGATACATCTTCATCAGAAGTGATAACACACATCACTGCAGAGTCAGGGTGCTTTTCTACAGGAGAGCAGCAGCCTTTGTAGAGTGTTCACCAAAGAAACGGGTTCTGCTGACCTCTTTATTCCCTTCCTATAGGGTCCCTAGACATTGCCATTACACCTCCCCATCTCTACCTTGTCTATGCCCTTTACCTCCCCCCGCTAGGAGGATATGTACAGGATCTATTTTAGATTATGGCTAACTATTTGCATCAAATTAAGATATACAAATGACCACGGATATTGCCTTAGCCTTAAAAATTACTAATAGTTTAACCCACCTCACTCCACACACTGAGGACCTGATTGGAATCCATAAGGGCAGTTCCTTTGGGAGCAGCATCCTCCAGGCTAAACCGAAGGCAGCTAATCCTGTCCTTGGAGGAGCAGCTAGAGGAATCCATGGCTGGCTCTCAAAGCACGCAAGCTGACCAAACCATGGGAACAGCAGAGAATCTAGCTACTGTGCATTCCGTGCCTGCTCCAGTGAAGGTTTTCCAGCCTGGGGAGAGCCAACTGCATGAGCTAGCTTCATTAGAGAAGGCAGGGTGGCACTGAAGCCGGGAGAGAGCTAACCTGGAGTAGAGGCTCTTCATCCAAAAGGGAAAAGTGACAACTCCATATTGCTTTTTAGAGTTCAAATCAACATCTTTCTGGATAAATATATTTTTTAACAGAATGTTTTTATTATTTTTAAGAGATATAAAAAATGACTACTCCCATCAGTAGCAATACAAGGTTATGCATTTTAACCAGATTTTCTCAGGCCTTTTTTGGATACCTTTAGTAGTTAACTATTTTGTCTAACCCTCCTGTAAATACCTATTGCATAACAGACCGACCCCTGGGGAATGCAGCCAAGGGCACCTTGCACCCCTCACCTGGTGCAGGCATTAACCCCACAGACTGCGCTAATCATATGCTAACAGTACCTTCCTCTGTTCTGAGCCTGTTCCCTGTTATGCTTCTGTTGGGATAGGAAGAGAGAGTCCACCATTCTCAAGAATGTCTGTTTGATACAGTCAATGTTGCCAGTAAAATGTTCTTAGTCAAAAAGAGTTGTGATTTTTAATTTCTCATGGCACCTACCTTTTGTGATGGTCTAACCAAATTCCTGCCCTGTACAGAAGATGAGGGTGGACATCACATTTGCTTTCTGCTCAGCTTGGCAGCTGTTTACTTGGCATTTGCCAGTAGACACTGTGGGAATGGCTGCACTGGGGCCATGTTTACTCACTAAGGTGAATCCTAGGTTTGCATTCCATTGCTCTGCTTTCTGAAGTCTGTGCTTGTGCCCCTAGGAAGTCACTTAAAAAGGGACTGAGCACTGCATTACCATGTTGCAGCTTTCCCCATGTGTTCTGTCTTAAAATGCAAATAAATAAGCTTCCACAGAGGGCGCCCACAGGCCCTGCCAGTCTGTTCTGTCTCTTCTGCGGTACGTCCTCTCACCACTGCAGGAACACACACTCCTGTTGGCAGTACCTGCTCTTTGCAAAGACCAGCCTCCTGCCCAGGGCGCAATCAGCATTGCCTCACAACTTGTACCAGGTGTAAATAAATGAAAAGGATCCAGTGTTGGGCCGTTCAGGTCCTCTTCATGCACCTCCTGGGAGTGTGGTGCCTTCTTCTCCTGGGAGAGGGGAAAATGGGCCAGCATCAACACCGCTGATCGAAGAGACTCATTCCTCGAAGCCAGAGTGATGGGGGGATATTTCTAAGGCATTCGAGTAAAATCCGGGCCTTAAAAACAAAGGGCACTGCTGGATAACAGTATTTTAGGGTTCTGGGGGGGATTTAGTTGTCCTAGGAAGATGGGAGGAGCAGCTGTGCTTTGGGGAGTAAGCAGTACGTGAGCCACACCCCCTTTGCAGGCCACAGGCAGTCTATGGATGACTTAACACCGAGTAGCTCACCAAGGCCCATGCTCCAGTCACTTCTTCCTGGAAGAAGCCGCCCCACTGAGTACAGGTTTCTTTTTTCTTTTTCTTTTTAGTTATTATGTATACAATATTCTGTCTGTATGTCTGCAGGCCAGAAGAGGGCACTACACCTCATTACAGATGGTTGTGAGCCTCCATGTGGTTGCCAGGAATTGAACTCAGGACCTTTGTAAGAGCAGGCAAAGCTCTTAACCACTGAGCCATCTCTCCAGCCCATGAGTACAGGTTTCTGAGGGTCTGTTCCAGTCTTGTTACACAACACAGTGAAGTGTTGAATAGCGACGGGAACACATAGGTAGCAGCTTGGCCTTGGGCGCCTCCTGACCATGGCGACATCAAGGGAGATGGACTGGACTAGAGATTTTAAGTGACCATGGGACAGTAAGTAATGGAGGTCAAAGTGCTGCCTAGCCCCAAGTCTAGAAGTAGGTGTGGTTTAAAGACTGAGTCCAACTAGAAGCTATGCGACTAGTGCTCCAGAGCCCCCAGACCTCCAGCAGCACCGGGAGATGAGCCTGTGTGCTTTGGAGTGCTCATGTGTTCAGAGGCCCGTCACACCTTGCAGCCTTGTGTTCCCTTTCATAAGCTGTTTATCTGAGATAGGATCCATCTGTGGAGCCCTGGTTGGCGAGAGACCCATCTACTGCTGCCTTCTGAGAGCTAGCGCCCTCAGAAGCCAGGGGCTCCCTGGAACTGCAGTAGGGGTGGTTGTGAGCTGCCTCATGTAGATGCAGGGAGTCAATTCGGGTCCACTGGAAAAGAAACCCATGCTCTTAATTGCTAAACCATCTCTCCATCCCCACAATTTCTGTTTCCAACCAAGTGTCTCTGTTCTTTGTCCTGGACTCATCCATGTCCACGTGATTATTACCAAACAAAAAACAATAGCAAGGACTATGGGTCTGGTAAGATTTTACTCTTTCCTTTTAAAATGACAACAAAAATTACAGTGGTATATCAAAACAGGTTGTTCATGAAGTGGGGTTGGACATGCCCTCTTGGGACACAATCTCAGTGCCCACATATTTCTCATCTGTCAGGGCAATACCTGGAACTCCTGGGGAGAGCAGCCTGACTGTGTGTGGCCATGTCTCCTACATTTTAGTGTTTTCCATCACCCCGGCTTCAGGGTGCCGGTGTTACTGCTGGTAAAGAAACAGGCTCTGGAGAAGGGTAGCTCCTTATAGTCAGCCTTGAACAAAAGTGTGGGACGCTGTCCCAGCCCAATGTGAGTCTGGCTCAGCCTTACTATTTATTTCACATGCTAGTTTAAATTCCACTACACAGGTCTACCTTAAATAAATGAGGCCAAGATTCAAACGCACACCACACACACCTACACTGAAGTTTTCAAAAAGATTATATGAGCAGGTTGCCTTGTGATGTCTGTTCACGGAACACATGCTCCGTGTCTACCTGTGGTCAGCAGAGTCCCTGGAACTGGAGTTACAGGTAGCTGTGAGCCACCATCTGTGTACAGGGAACCAAACCTAATTCTCTACAGAAGCAACAAGTGCTCCTCACCACTGAGCCATCAACATAGCCCCACCCAGCATTTTAAACACTTGAAAACATGATGAATAAAACAGCGGACAAGATTCCTCTTTAATGTTGATATTTTAATGGCTCAGTGTTACAAGTTTACAGACAAGACCCCAACAGTTACAGTGCTCCTCCTCAGTGAATTCACATTGAGCACAGGTTGTTAGACAATAAAACAAAGACCAGTGCTGTGCTTGTGGGAACACAAGACTAAGCATTGCAACAATTCTGACAAAATTAAATCTAGCAGAATAAATACTAACGACCCTCTATGACTATGAGAAGTATCAGTAGGAGAACTCAAGTTCAGTAGCAGCACTAGAAACGCCGAGAGTCCTGCAAACAGCAGCCTGCACAGTGGACATATAGCTGACTCCTCTATACCCAGGAGAAGAGGGAGAGCTAAGTCTCTCATGATCCCATCTGGAAAGTTACAAAAGCTTTAGGCCACGGGTGAGGGACATCAATCTGTCTGAGTCAGGTGGAGTTATTCTTCCGACAGGCCAGGGGGGCATGTGACTACAGACCTAGGATACAATTCCGGCCCAATTGTGGCCATTCAAGTCCAGCGCCAATGAAGGCAAGGAATGATGGCCTAAGTTCTCCACAATGAACACTGGCTTTTCAACCAGGGTATCCTAGGGCACCTCCGTAGAAAGGAAACGTCGTCTTTGTTTTTATATTTACTTATTCGTGTGTGGAGGTCAAAGAACAAGCCATGGGAGTCAGTTCTCTCCTTCCACCAGATGAGTTCCAAGAATCAAACTCAGGTTATCAGGCTTGGCTGCAAGCCCCTCTACCTTCTGAGCTATCTTACTGGCCCCCATGTAACACACCAAGACAGAATAGTTGAAAGCGGGGGATGTCTACATGTTGAGTCTTCCTCTTCCTTATTTCAAGCATTAGTGATTAGTGCTCTCCAGCGCAGCTCTTCTGGACACTTGGCAAAGGACATGTCTTTAGAGGAGCCTTGGAGCTTCAGCCTTTACTTTTAGCCAGCACAGCCAAACAAAAGCACCAAGATGCCGACTCAGCAGCCAATACTGAGGCTAGGAAACAATTACTGCTAGTTGCTTTTCTAAGCCCCCCAGATCGGTGGGCACTTCCTACAAGTTCTGATTCCATCATCTCCAGGGGCTCACGTGCAGTGCAACTCATGCTGTCCCAGACTTGAAGCCGGGTGATCTTCTGTGGCTGTCACCGACGACGAATGGGCTTGTAGACACAAAATGCCATAAGGATGATGGTCACCAGCAGGATGCTAAAAATGGTTCCCATCAGCACTGCAAAGGGAAAACAGGTTACCTTGTGGGAGCTCCAGGCTCCATGATTTCATTAGGAAGACAGTGCTTTTTCAATTGCTACTTGACCCAAGAGTACTTACTGCGCCGGGTGGCAGAACTAGCCAGGCACTTCTTCAAGTCACCCCACAGGTACAGGACAGTGAGAGAGGGCCCCCCGGGGGGTCACATTCCCTGGGATTAGAGTTATAGAAGTTTGAAGTGGCATGTGGATGCTGGGAGTCAAACCCAGGACCTCTGCAAGAGCAGCTGGTGCTCTTAACTGCTGCGCTCTCTCTCCAGCCCCCAGCTGTTTTTGAGAGTACAGTTCATGTCTAAAACATTCAGGGTGCTCAGGGAAGGAGTGGGGCCTACAAGGGGACTTGGCCTGGCAGCCCGGGGCTTTAAGCTACGAATATAAGCCACTCACTTTGCTCAGCCGCAGCGGTCTTCTGCGGCATTCAAAGCGCTGTGACCTTTGATAAGCAAAGGCACATTTATAAATGCTTAGTTCCAAGTTTGTGGGCCCACGCCAGGTGCCAGTCCAGTTCCTCTGAGAAGCCTAGACCTGCCTACTTTCAAGACGGTCATTTCAGAACATCTGTGCCTGTCCCACCTCTATCCCATCACATCCTCTCAGCCTCTTGGTGGGTAAGGGGGAGAAAGGATAGGAAAAATGACAAAGAGAGCATTTCACAACTGCAAAAGTCCAGATGTGGTTTTGAGAGCGTGTCACTACTCTAGAAGGCCAGGTGTGGTTCTGAGATCTTTATTGGTGCTGGATAGCCAAGCTCAGGCCCCCTGCGGTGCAGCCAGGAATTACTGCCGAGCATCTATCTCTCTTTTGCTTCTATTTTAAGAAGCAGATTTCTTTCCCTTTAATTTTAAAGACCGTTCTAGAATGTACGGAAATGGTTTGAATGGAGCAAGAGAAAAAATTCCAGCTGTACTCATAACTTTAGGAAACTGGAAATTAAAGACTTTTGACAATTTGGCCAGGTATTTAGTTGACCTGGGCTATCTGGAGACATGGCATTCAGCTTGTTTAAGACCAAGATTGTGTTACTGGACCCAGCACATACCCATAGCTCTAGCTCCAGGGATCTGATATCCACTTCTGGCCTCACTGGATACACAAATGAACACACACCACACCAGACTTAAAATCCAAACAAAGTGGTGGCGCACGCCTTTAATCCCAGCACTCGGGAGGCAGAGGCAGGCGGATCTCTGTGAGTTCGAGGCCAGCCTGGTCTAGAAGAGTTCCAGGACAGGAACCAAAAAAGCTACGGAGAAACCCTGTCTCGAAAAAAAAAAATCCAAACAAAGGAAAAAGCTTAATTAAAACCATATGCTAGGTATCAATATTATTTGAATTAATATCCATTTGGAACTTGATAAGCCCCTCTATTCTTCATCCTTGTACCCACCTCTCTTGCAGGGCACATCAGTAACCAGACAGGTTTCAAAAACAACCTTAAAAGACTTTTTGTTGTTGCTGTTGTTCTTCAAGATAGGGTCTCTCTGTATGGACCTGGCTGTCCTGGATCTCACTCTGTAGACCAGGCTGGCCTTGGGCTCACAGTTATCCCCCTGCCTCTGCCTCCCAAGTGCTGGGACTATAGGTGTACGCCACCACCACCTGACTGTAAAAGACAACTCCATCCCATGGTCACTTCCCATCACTGAGAATCATGTTCTGCATCAATAAAGTGGGACAAATGAAAACCCAATTAAAAGGATTTCTTTAAGCTTAACTATGGATTACCTTCAAGCAGTGCTCAATAAAGTACTGGGCTATAGTAAGTGCATATAGTTGAACACTTCCCTTATGGCCAAGACAGGCAGCACTCATGGCAGTGAAGAGTTCGGGGTTTGAGGTCAGACTGCCTGGGTTCCCATGTGCTTCCTAGGCTATGCATCTTACTAAAGGCCCCCAACTTCCGTGTCCTTGTTCATGAAATCAGCGATAAAATTCCCACTGCCCTCAACTGCCTAGGGCCGCATTTCATGAACTCCAGGTGGTAAAGGACAATTCTTTCTACTTTGTTCCAGACTCTAGATATATGCAAGATTACTAAGCAGACTGCCTCAAGGCATCCAGTGCAGACACATTACCTGCTTGATGTTGCAATACCACAGTGTAAACTTTCCTAACACGCTTTCTGTAGTTGATGATGATGATGATGATTACTACGACTACTACAGCTAAGACAGTTTGGGAGCATCCTCAGCTTGCTGTTCTTCAGTAGGGGTCTTAACCCAAAGGGTTAGGACTGGAAACGTTGTGATTGTGTAGACTGCAAGTGGCGGGTGTGACTGCATCCAGAGGGTAAAGGATGGGGGCTCATGAACATCCTATGCTCAGGACAGCCTCTCCCCCGCCCCGCAGCTAAAAAGGAATCATGTGATCTAAGGTGTCAGTTGTATCCAGGCTGACAAACCCAAGTCTAAAGGATTAGGCTGAAAATTTCTGAAAACTACTTAGCGGACTGCTAGATAGGTACAAAGTAAGTGGTCAAAACGTGGGAAAAAACAAGCCATAGAAAGACAGCCCAGAACGGTATCAGGTGGGGAGGGAGGGTGGAGGTGAGACGGACACATCTGGTTTGCCCAGTGTCAAGAACCAGAGCTCCTTTCAAGGCCATGCCTTATGTGATGAATACTCCCCAAAGTTGCTTCAAGCTCCCACAAATCCCAGATTCAAGTATTGGCATTCACCACGCCAAACCTGGGTATCCCTGAGTAACATAACTTTACCTTTCGGCTTCATTTTCCTTTTCTGTTAAACAGGATTGAAAAGCCCTACTTTTTCATTGGCTTACAATGAAGCTCCCCAAATACATGCAAGTCCTGAGCACAGCACCTGGTGTGTAGGGAATGCTAAAACGTCCATTACAAACGCCATCGCTGAGAAAGGGCCTATCTGGCAGGAAGAGGGATGGATGCAGATTTAGCCCTACTGCCCAGCTTGAATCCATAGAGTCGGACATGAAGGCACAAACCCAGGTCTCCAGCTTCTAATTTCAGCAGGTGCCGCCAGCACATAGGGCAAGAGAGCTGGCTCCCAAGCTTGGGCTGACAGCAGGAAAACTGGCTCTGTGAGCACCAGACGTCAGGGACAGCTCCCGCGCCGCGCGCCGCCCGCTCCCAAGCCCGGGTGCTGTTTGCTCTGGCAGCAAACGCGCATCCCGCTCCGCCCCGCCCCGCCCCGCTCCGCTCACCCAGGTTCTGCCCACGCAGCACCGCGTAGGGCCGGCTCCGCTCCGGCGGCACCCCGGGGTTCGGGGCCTCGGCCTGCCCCAGGAGGAGGCTGCAGAGCGCAGCACACAGCCACAACCACCCCGCAAGCAACATCTCTGCAGCCTGCTCCGCACCGCGCGTGCGGACGCGGCTTCCGCTTCAAGCCCCGCCTCTAGACGCGCCCTTTCCGCGGCCAGCGTAGTCGGCTCGCGTGGTTGCCGTGGAAACTAGACGGGGGCGGGGGTGGGTTATTGGGAGAGGACTGGTGGAGACGGGACAAGGTTCCGCCAATGTGGTCCGGTCTTAATACCGCACCCAGGCCAATTTCCGCGAAAATTAACGTTCCGCCCAGAATGTTCCCTGCTCACAACATTGAAAGGCTTTGCTTTACAAACCCGTGCATTTTCGTATTCAGTCGTCACCATAGTCTGGAGAAACAGACTACGCATTCCCATTTTACATACATTCTCTCTCAAGGAACCCATATTCTGAACACCTTTTTCTAAAACTGCAGCCTCCCCCTCACTCAAATATTTCCACTCCACCTAGCGTCCTGCTTAACTTCATTGCCATTTCTAATCTAATCAGTGCTTTGGGGGGGGGGGGGCAGTCACGTTGGGTGGTACCAACCCTAGACTGGGTTCTCTAAAAAGGCAGGCTGAGTGTAAGAAGGTAAGGCCTGCAAGGCGGAGAGGAGCCAACCTGGAGTCTGCCTGGGGCTGTCAGAAATTCTGATTGTGCCTAGTCAGTGAGTGGTAACCACACAATGTCAATGCATCAGAATGCCTGGGTGCTGGGAGGGTATATGAGTTTATTCCTGTTGTTAAATAAACGAGTCTTCAGTATGCCTTCTACCTGACTTTCAGTGTCCGAGTCATTGATGCTGCACCTTCTCACGCCCTCCCCCAAGGAGCAAGCCAGGAGGAGCAAGCCAGTAAGCAGCACCCTCCATGGCCTCTGGCATCAGCTCCTGCCTCCAGGCTCCTGTCCTGCGTGAGTTCCTGTCCTGACTTCCTTTAGGGATGAACAGCGATGTGGAAGTGTAAGCCAAAGAAACCCTGTCCTCAAGTTGTTTGAATCATGATGTTTCATCACAGCTGTAGCAACCCTGACTAAGAAATTCGTAAATTTCCAATATAGTGGATTCAGAACTGAATATAATAACCACCAAATATTCGTGGCTCTAGATCATTTGATGTTTTTTGAAGGACTGCATCCATTGTCCTTTCCTGATATGGGATTCCTTTCTGTATACTGTGAACATGTTTTATTGTCATTGGTTAGTAAAGAAGCTTCTTTGGCCTGTGGTAGGGCAGAACAGAGCGAGGCGGGAAAACTAAACTGAATGCTGGGAGAAAGATGAGAGATGCCATGTAGCTGCTGAAGAAGACAGATGCTGGAACTTTACCTGGTAAGCCACAACCTTGTGGCGATACACAGAATAGAAATGGATTAATTTAAGATATAAGAGGAATACGCTAGAGTCATTGGCCAAGCAGCCTTGTAGTTAATATGGTTTCTGCGTGATTTCGGGTCTGGGCAGCTAGGAATGAACAAGCAGCCTCTGAGTACACTTTCCATTCAGTTGAAGTAGAAAGGAAACATCTGAATTCTCAGGTCCTCCCTTCTGCAGTCTTACCTCACTGTAGCACTCCTCAGTCACCATGCTGACATGAAACAGGAACCCTCCACACAGCCTTTATTAGACAACTTTTCTTCAGAACTTTAGATCACATTCTTAAAAAGTTAAAATGATGTGAATGGATCACCAGACCACAGGAACAATGCCAGTGGATCACCAGATCACAGGAGCTATGCCAGTGGATCATCGGATCATAGGAACGATGCCAGTGGATCACCAGACCACAGGGACGATGCCAGTGGATCACCAGACCACAGGGACGATGCCAGTGGATCACCAGGTCACAGGAATGATGCCAGTGGATCACCAGATCACGGGAACGATGCCAGTGGATCACCAGATCACAGGAATGATGACAGTGGATCGCCAGATCACAGGAATGATGACAGTGGATCACCAGATTGCATATCTGAGAGCATCTTGTCTGTGTAACTGGACTGAAAATTCTATTGGGGTTGCAGGACACTCAGCTAAAATTTAATTTCAGATACGAAATAGTATTTGGTTACGTATATTCTTAATAGTGGAGAGAACTAAATATGTACGATGTATGTGATATATGTGTAAAGTATCATAATAAAAAGTGTTTTTAAGAAGAAAATTTTGAGATTTACTTTTTTAAAAATATTTTGTTTATTTGTTTGTGTTCGAAATAGGGTTTCTCTGTGTAGCCCTGACTGTCCTAGAACTCACTTGGTAGACCAGGCTGACCCTGAACTCACTGATCTGCCTGCCTATGCCCCCGGGAGTTGGGATTAAAGGTGTGTGCAACACCAATACCTGGATTATTTTCATTTAAAGTATATGGAAATTTTGCATGCATGTATCTCTGAATGCCACCTACCTGCAGTGCTCACAGGGATGCTGGATACTCTGGAATTGGAGCTATAGATGATTGTTAGCCACCAATTGAATGATGGAAGTGAACCTGGGTCCTCTAAGAGTAGCCAGTGCTTTTAGCCACCGAGTCATCTATACAGCATCCTTAATTTTATTCATAAATATGTGTGTGTGCATGTATATGTGCGCATGTATGTGTATGTATGAATGCATGCTATATACCTGCAGTGTCTGTGGCGGCCACTAGAAGGTGCTGTACATACTGCAGCCCTTGGAGTGCCCAGGTCTTGTGACAGATCTGCTGAGACCTTGAGGTCTTTAGCCCCGAAACCATTGTGCTTTATACTAAAAAAAAGTGTTAAAGTACATCACAAATATCTTATGGACTATCACACTTGTTATCTATTTTGAAATTCAGATGTACGATGACGGTGGACATGGGCTGGTTTTGGCTGTCCGGGATTTGTTCCTTTTTGGGTTATCGTTGGTGAACAGATGGAAGCACTTCTCTCTGCCTACCCGTGGGGTTCTGGAGTCCTCGTTCCAGGAGCACACACACTATCCAGTCGTCAATAGGCACCTTCCCTCTCTCCGGCTGCAAAGACAAGTTTAGGATTTAGTGCGTGACCTGAGTTAGGTCTCCTTCCAGCCATCCCAGCTCTTGATGAATACTTGTTTGTTGCTGTTATTGTTGAAATGAGGGTAGCTCTAAATAGACCTGTCCCAGAACTCTAGACCAGGCTGGCCTAAAATTCATAGCGACCCACTTGCCTCTGTCTCCTGAGTGCTGGGATCAAAAGTGTGTGCCTCTACAATCATCTTCAAGGTTTATTTTATTTTATGTACATGTGTGTTTTGCTTCCATGTATGTGTGTGCACTGCATGGGTGTCTGGTGCTGACGAACGCTAGAAGGTGTCTGTTCCTCTGGAACGGGAGTTGCAGGCAGCTGTGAGCCGCCATGTGGGTGCTGGGAACTGAACCCAGGTCCTCTGCAAGAGCAGCCAGTGCTCTTAACTACCAAGCCATCTCTCAGCACTTTTTACACAATCTTAAAATCACTTCAGCTGCTAATCTCACTTTTGTTATTATGGTGACAATCAATACTGTAAAATGAATCATTTTAGCTACTTTTAAATATAATACAGAGGTATTAGGTGCATCCACACATGTGGCTCATTTTTCAGAACTATTTCATCATCTCAAACAGAAACTCCACGTCCTTTAGAAAGTAATGCAACTGTCCCCCCATCCCCTATGACCCGTCTTACTTCTAGCCCCTACGTAGCGATCTATCCCAAATAAATAGATCACTACCAAATAAGTGGAGTGTACATTTGCTTGCTTGTTACCCTTAAACAACTATTTTGGTGGCTTGTAGAGATTTTTTAAAACTAACAGAACGCACACAAACGAATCTAGTTACAAAACATTTGCTTTCCGTGGCCACTTGTCTTGACATTGATCAATAAAACACAAAGCAATGCCTGCACCTTCCAAGATCTCAGTATTGCATAAATGATCAGCCCATTTACCGGGTGAAAGGTCGCACACACTATTTGCCCAACGTGAACATAATTTTCTTACAAACTCCCAAAGCAAATGATTCCTCATCTGGGGAATTCTGGGGGCTGCAGGAGGCTGTGAAATCCCTGAGAGGTCCTAGCGATTCCTCTGGGGCTGGGCCAGGAGTGCCAAGTGCACCCCAACTCCACACCCCGCCCCGCCTCCCCACCCCCACACAGGACAGGACATTTTCCAGGCAGCCACTCTGGCACCAAGGACCTTAGAGTGAGGGGAACCATGTCCGCACAGACACTGCTTGGTGTTCACCAGGTTAAGGCTGAGACTCACTTCGCCAAAGTCCATGACAAGTCAGCTCGGAAGAGAGCACCGAGAGTGAGGTTAAGTGCTCAGCCCCGCCCCCGTGCCCTGTCTGGCCAACCAGGTCCAGAAGGGCGGGAGGCCACGCCCACCTGTGCGAGTCAGAGTTTGCATTTTCTAAATTCTGTTCTCTAACGCCCCTTCTGGCCGTGATGGGCGGTGCAACAGAGTGAGGGGCGCTCCTGAGCCGCCATCTCTGACAGTGACTGATCTGAGCTCTATGCCCACAAAGCAGCTTCGTGGCTCTAGTTTAGAACTTGCATCTGAACGCCCAGAATATCTGAGATGGCTTGAAATCTCATTCCGAGTTTCCCAGAATCCCACTCGTTTCCTATATAGAAACTTAAAATATTCCAAAATGTATGAAGCCCTGTTCCCTTTATATCAAACCCCATCAATCCTCTGGCCTCTTTATCTCCATAGGCTGGGCTGGAACAAAGGAGAAATCAAAAGGAAAAGGTAACAGCTTGAGATAAATGAAAGCAGGAATATCTCTGGGTGGTGATGGCACACACCTTTAATTCCCAGTATTCAGGAGGCAGAGGCAAGTAGATCTCTACGAATTTGAGGCCAGACTGTCTACAGAGTGAGTTCTAGGACAGCCAGGGTTGTGACAAGGAGAAACCCTGTCTTGAAAAACAAAACAAACAACAAAAAACAACAGGAATTTCATCCATCGAGCTTCTAGAATGCAGCAAAGGCCGTTTGAAAAAGGAAACGTGCAGCAATAAATTCATTAGGAAGGAGAACAGACCTTAAATAGGCGTTGGAATACACCTCAAGGTACCAGGGGTAAAGG